TGCCTAACAATTATTTTTCTTAATCTGTAACAAAAATAGCTCACTTTCTAAGGTAACTTGGTAGAAAAGTTATACAAAAGTCTGAAATTCTATTCAATTTAATAATAGAGGCAGGGTCACAAACACGCTTATAAAGCGTGTCTATACTCCAGTTTTTAGTTTATGCATTCATCTTCAGCCAATTTAATAGATGAACTCTCCCAGCCATTTATAGCTTTTATGTCCATGTTAGCGACAGGATTTGACACCTTCGTTCATCACACACAGAAACGCATCTACCAGCTATGTACCGTGACGATGCGCTCCGCCACCCATTTGTTGAGACCGAGATGAAACAAAATTTATTTTCCGGTTCGTCCGCAAAGCTAAACTTACGTTAAACATAAACTACAGAATAGCTGCCCACAGTGTTCAGTCTATTCGCTCACCTGTATAAATACACTTGCAGCACTCCTTGCCACCACCAGAAAGCAGCTCCAGAATGAGAAAGGCTGCGGTACTCCAGGAATCATGCCAGTCAATTTAAAGATACTAAATTGATTCCCTGAAAAATGACAAAAACCCAAGACACATTCAGCTCAGTGTCCATGAAATGATATTCAGATAGGATTTTTTTTGCTGACTGATTTTAGTTGCCTCTGTGACCTAAAATTACAGAATCACATGGGCAGTCTATAATGTCTGGGTGTGAATTATAACCTGTCAAATGACTGGTTGGCTTAAATATTTTTTTTCCCTTTTTAAAAAAAAAAAAAACACTGAAAAATACAGAAAATATTCCATTAACACAACCCCTGATATAGTGTTTTCCCCGAACGTTGGTGGCGGTCCGCTCAGAATAACTGAATATTGATGATCTGGAAGGCTGAGTCCAGCATGTTTTTGTTTAGCCAGGTTTCTGTTAGACAAAGAACAGCACACTTCATCTCTGTAGAAATAGTCTCAGATGTAACAAATCCACTTTATCCAGTAAGCGTGCATTGTCTAGAAATGTCCGCTTCAGTGGTCCGAAATTGGTGGATACGGCTGGGCCAATGCACCCTTTCGCTTCTCCCTCTTCTGTTTTCGGGGACCACATTTCCGTTTGATGTTCCTCGCACTCTGCTTCACCAGTCTGTTGTCCACTGTCTGCCAAGTGCGGATTTCAGACGCGTTGATATATTAACAACTGAACTGTCTCCAATAGTCAC